TTCGGCCACAGTGGGGTCATGAGCATGGATAATCTTACAGAGCCCCTTGTATATTATCATTGGTCTAAGATTGAGAATTACTAGTTTGAGCTTTCTTCCAGGATTCAAACAATGCAAATCAAAATTCATCTGAGAAGTGAAATGGGGGAAAAGCGTGTAAGAAAATGACACAATTTGAAAGAGAGATATGGGGGTGATCCTCCCTTCTGGGAACATGTACAATAAATATTCACAACTGCAGTCCTGTGGGAAGGGAGGTTTTATGACAGGGAGGTACTGGGCAGAATGCCCAAGGGTGACCCCTCCTAAGAAATGGATTCTGGAACAGGGCCCTGGCCGGGTAGCTCAGTTGGTTAGAGCGTTGTCTCAATACACCAAGATTCCGGGTTCAGTCTTTAGTAAGGGCACATGCAGGAAGTAACCAATGAGTGCATAAGTGGCATAACAAATTTCTCTCAAATCAATAAAACTTATAATAGGAGGTACTATCACCCTCATTTTGCAAATCAGAAAACTGATGTCTAGACAACTTAACTGACTTGCCCAAAAGATTATGGACAGTGAATAGTAGAGTTGAGACTTCAGTCCTAACATTTATGGAGCACTTACTATATGCTAGAATTTAGGCAAGTATAAATTATATAATTATGGTGTTATAAATTCTCTAATTCTCACTTCTTTGACATAATCTATTTATTTCTAGCATTTATGCAGCAGAATCTTATTTACCCACAAATACCCATTCTTCCTGCATATTTTGCTTAGGGCTGCTGTATGACAGGTGCCAGGCACTCTTTCCCAGCTTCCCTTGCTGCTAAGAATAGTCACGTGACACCATTCTGGACAATGAGATATAAGAGGAAGTCTATGGAGTTCCTTAATCCATCTTCTCTTCTCCATGCCTGTAGTATGCAGTATGGGATCTTGACATGACAAGCATAAGGGCAAAAATGAAAATAAGGATAAAATGAGAGTGGCAGAGCAAAACAATGCCCTGATTCTTCCCTATACTGCTGGCTGCCTATCACCAGGCTTCTGACTGACAAGGAAACATAAGCTTCTATTTGTCACCATGGTTAGGTTTTTGTAAGTTGTGGCCAAATGTATTCCTAAGTGATACTGCTTCCTAAATGGCCTCCATCACCGTTGTTCTGTTCCTTTAAAGGTGAACACAATGCCCACCAGCTTAACACCAGCCAGCATCTGACTGAGGCTGAAGCTTAGCCATGTCAGGGATACTGAATCAGTGTCTTTTTTTTTAAAGATTTTATTTATTTTTAGAGAGGTAAGGGAGGGAGATAGAGAGAGAGAAGCATCAATGTGCAGTTGCTGGGGGTCATGGCCTGCAACCCAGGCATGTAGCCTGACTGGGAATCGAACCTGCGACACTGGTTCGCAGCCCACGCTCAATCCACTGAGCTATGCCAGCCAGGGCTGAACCAGTGTCTTAATTGTATTAACCTTTGAGACCTGTGGCACTTTGTCACCTGAATCAGCACTTTAGTTTTTGCAGCTTCCATTTGCTTTTACAAGATAAGGACAAATACAGGAACATGGTCCAACAGCTGTGTAAACACCGTGCTCAAAGATGGCAATACTGCCACTACCAACCATCGACTGGGAGGCCAACACCCCACCATGCTTCAGCTGCCAAGGGAAACCTGGGTTCACTGTGGGGAAGGTGGTTCACTGTCAGTCAAGTGCTTGTATCGAAGTCTGGCTGTTTGAAAGTTAAATGTACAGAAGTGAAGGACAGCCTGTATTTACTCTAGTGGCAGCCCTAGCATGCCAGATTTTTAAAAAAGCTTCCAAATCAGTTAGCTGAGCAAGAAACTACCACTAACTCAGCAGCTTAAAACAATGTCTGTTATTGCTATTGTCCAGCTGAGTGGTTCTGCTGACCTGGACCAAGCTTAGCTGGTCTTAGATGGGCTTGTACAAGTGTTTCAGTCTATTGACATGTCAGTTGTGGGAGAGAAAGGGATAGTGGGGTTGGTCTGGGATGGCCTCACTCACCTGCCTCACAGGCAACTGACTATCAGCTCTGGTGAAAGGGCTGGTTGGGTCACATGGTCTCTCATCCTCATGTGGTGGTGGTAGGCTTCCAAGAGATCAGGTGCAGGCAAGGTGTCTTGAGGCCTGGGCCAGGAACTTTGGTCTAGCACAAAGTCTTTTGTGGTATTATATTGATTTATATTACCACATTTTGCCATGTATACTGAGAAGGTTTTTGCCCACACATTTGAGGGAAAAATAAGGATGAGCATTATACATGGGTATACAATTACACACCATGGGTGTAAGAATCCCGTGTATAATGTGCACAAAAACATGGGTGCACATTATATATGGGAGTGCATTATACACAGCAAAATAGAGTGTATTGTGCTGTATCAGAATGTGTGCCACCACATTCTATTGACTAAATAGTCACATTCTAGTTTCAAGAGGTAGGCAAAAGGTCCCCTTCCCACTTCCCTTCTTGATAGCAGAGACTTCGAAGTCACTTTGCAAAGGGTGTGGGTACAGGAAGAGTTGGAGAACAGGGACTATTTTTGTAATCAGTCTACCATAGTGCTCAGACTGAGAGCTTCTCATGGAGGGGAAAACCATGGGCATCAAGGAAAGAGATGAACACAATCTGGCAGCAGAGAGATGGTTAGGTGGACAAGATGGAAACAATCCTGCAGTGGAAAAAGAATGAGCAGCAAAGGGAGCAGAGGAAGAGGCCACAGACACAGACTAAATGACAATTCTATTCTGAAAATTCTTTCTGCACTGACTTGTACTGGGTGCTTAATATGAGTATATGTCAAGCACTTTGGAGGTATGAGCTTATTTAACCCCAAATTACTCCTATGAGAAACATTCTATTGAGAATCCCACTTACAGAGGAAGGACTTGAGATTCAGAGAACAGGTAACTTGCAAAGAGGGATCCAGATGAAAAGCAGGAAGCAAGTCTTGAAGACAGGTCTCGGCATTCAAGTGCTGTCCCTAACTGTGGCGCTGTTCTGTATCTAGGGTAACTTGTCTCTCTGTCCCTACTTCAGACCCACTCACCCCGCCTCACCCAGGCCTGGATCACTGCAGCATCCGATAATTTCCAGTTGGATTACTTCCAGCCAACCTTTTCTGCAGAGAGCCAGAGAGTAAATATTTTCAGTGTTGTGTCCCAATTGCTCAATTCCACCAACATACGGTGAGAACAACCAGAGATAGTATGTAACTGAATGGGCGTGGCTGTATCCCCATAAAACTTTATATATAAAAAATAAATAAAGCAAAAGTGAATCATTTGCCAACTCCTGCTTAATTCAGTTCTCCACCATGCAGTCAGAATGAGCCAAACTCAAATGCTGACCCCGCCATTCTATGCCCATCCAGTATCTTCTGGCTCAGCCCAGACTTGCAGCGGGGTTCACAGCTTTGCAAGCAACACATGGCCCCTGAACCACCATCATCACCATCACCCGGAAGCTTGTTACAAATGCAGTCCCCAGACCTGGAGAACATTATGCTGAGTGAAATCAGTCAATCAGAGAAAGACAAACACCATGTGATTTCACTCGTATGTGGAACCTAATGAACAAACTGAACAAGCGAGCAAAAGAGACAGACTCGTAGATGGAGAACAGATGACAGCTATGGCGGAGGTGGTGGGTGGAGGTGAGGGGACAGAGGGAGTGAGTAAAAAGGAAAAAGGACTCATGGACATGGACAGCAGTGTGGTGATTGCTGGGGGACAGGGGGTATAAGGGGACTAAATGGGAATGGAAAAAAATAAAGATTAAATTTTTTTAAAATGCAGTCTCAGGTCAAACCCAGATCTGCTGAATCAGAACTTGCATTCTCAACCAATGAATACATAAATAAGTGAAACAACAAATCAATCTCTTTCTCAAGTCAATCAATCAATCAATAAAAGGTTAATTAAAGAACTTGCATTCTAGCAAGACTTCCAGGTGATTTGTACACTCGTTTGAGAGGCTCTAGCTTCTAGCTGTCCTGGTGCCTTCTTACCTCTCCCACCTCATCCTCCGCAACTGAAACCTCCTCCCACCCTATCTTCAATCTCTAACCAAATTCAAATGCTCCTGTCACCTCTGTGCTTGATGCATTTTTCTCCAGCCCAAGTCCCTTCACTTCACAAACCCCTACCTATGTTTGGATCTCGATGTAGATGTCACTTGTTCTAAGCAGCTCTCCCTGAACTGACTGCATGAGGCGCTCCTCTTCCATGTTTCCATAGCCCTTCCCCCACCCACCACCCACCATCAAGACCGCTTCTCCGACTGCCTGTCTCTTGCAACAGTTTGTGTGCTCATGAGAGAGAGAGACCACATCTCTCTCTCTCATTGGTCATCACTGTGTGTCCTCAATGCCCAGGGACAGTAGCCAGTGAATAACTACTTGTTAAAAAACTAAAGGCAACACACCCCACTCCCCTTTACCCTGGGCTCAAGTTCTACCAACTAGTGTTTAATCAGCCTGTGGGTGCAAGTTTCCCTAAACTTCCACCTGGCTCCAAGTCTTTGAAGAGTCCTATGTAGCCTCTGATATTCCAGTTCTCACCAAGCCTGCTAGTTTTTCATATTAGCAAATGTTTGCCATTTGGAGAGGGCCTGAGGGCCTAAGAGATTTCTGGGCAAAATTCTTGAACTATAAATTTGAGCTATAAATTAGCCACAGGCCAAGACTTGAACAATATGAGTGTGTGTGTGTGTGTGTGTGTGTGTGTAGAGGGGTGGAGGGGTGGGTAGAAGAGCCACATGGGCAGAGGATTCTAGGCAAGGAAAAAAAGAAGACTTGAAGGCAGGACCCGAGAGCTGTGAAATGGCATTTCTTTCCACCTGAGTATGGAGCCATTTCCGTACCAGCAATGATCCAGCGCTGCTGCATGGGAAAAGACTCCCCATACACCCAGGAGCTGAGATCAGGTGAGGCTTCCATAAGGAATCGCAGGAAGATGAGACCCTGCCCAAAATCTGACATCCAGTCCACAGGTTTCTACAGGTACCTTTATTAACAAAGCAAAGTATAAAAGAACAAGGTCCCCAAATGACCCATATGATTAAAAGTGCAAATTTACTCCAACCTGAAATAGAAAACAAATGGCAGGCCTCAGTTGTTTGGGCCGTGGAAATACGCTGTGATTAAAATGCCTCTTAATCACACAACTGTAGCAGCGGAACCGTAACTGATGAACTCTTTGGTCTCTGTTATTGGAACAAAACATGCTGTGACTGCAGCTGACACACTGCGTCAAAATACCCAGTTTGGGGTCAAAACACACATTAAAAATCACAATAAAATATGAGGAATGTTTTAAAGTCAAATGACTAAATCAAGGCACATTCTTTTAAAAGTAAAAGGTGCTAAAATATTCCTGAATATCTGATACTTCAAAAATCAGATTATATGTAATTTAGCTGCATGTTTTAGTCTGTTCTCTCTGTGTAGCTGATTGCATATAACTTCCCCTGCTCCCAATTTATACTTGCTTTATCCCCACCATATCATGTGCTACGTAGGTATAAAAAAAAATAAACAGTAGGTCTAAGTAATAGACATGTGATTTTTTAAAAAATTAACAAATGCCACATGATAATACTGAACTTCTTTCCCTCTCGAGGGACACTGGAAATATTAATGAGATTCACTTTTTCCACTACTGGGGAGGGAGGTAATAACCCTCCTCTGTTCATGGGTGGAATAAGTTAAGTCTTTGGCATCAAGGTCAAAAGCCACATTTTACAGAAAAAGTGACTTACTCTGTGAGGATAAAAGAGACAATTTGGAAGCAGTTAGGTTAATTCCTTCAGAATGCTAGGATGTCGGTTTTGGTGGGAGCCTCGGAGTCAGAAAGAGATAGGCACATCTGATCGGAACAGTGTTCTTGGCCATGGACACGGCAGCAAGCCCAAGAAGCTTGGCCCAAGGGTCCAGCATTGTTTTTCTGGTGTTGCAGGCCACCAGCTATCATTGCTAAGGCACAGGCAAGAACACCACTAAAAATAATAATAATCATTAATTTTAAAATAAAATGCAAATAAAAAAGAAACAAGTTTTTCTGCAATCCTTCCTGATGACTCATCTTCAAACTCTGACATAGCCTAGGAGTTTAACTGACTCACTGGGAAGGAAATGCCAAGAACTGGCCCCTGTGGCTTTTGCTGGAGGGTCTGACTACAAAGAACAGCTCCAGGACAGAGGGTCCTTCTGGGAATTATGAGTAAAGTGTTATCTGTGGCCGTGTTAATTTTTTTTGGTTTGTTTCTACAATAAAGCTTAGCTCTGAGAGATAAAAGAGACTCAAATATCACTCCCCAACTATGTATAACAGCATCATATCCACAACAATAAATATAACCTTATACATACTTGGGGGGTTAGCTGTGTAAGGCAAGGGTCGGAAACTGGAGGCCTGCAGGTTCAACCAAACATTTTGTTTGGCCCACATGGTGTTTTGGACATTTAAAAATTATTTTAACAATCAGAAAGTTTCACTTTTAAAGAGTCCTGACTTCTAGCCCCTCTGTACCCTTTTCCCTGCCTGAAGCCAAGTAATAGCCCTTACCACAAGAAGCCCCCACTGCCCACCCACCCCTTCTCTACCTTGTTTCTGCAGGCTGCTGAGTTTGCGACCCCTGATTTAAAAAGAGCACATACCTAAAAATGTGTTTCCCAACCCAAACCTCCTTCCCACCCTCACATGATTTCCACCCCATCTCTCCTTCCTTTCACTTCCATCATGAGCCTTCCTTCCAGAGTCCTTCATATTTCTCTTGGTTCACTTGCATTCTTCCTTCTTTCACTTCAGTTTCATTTTGGGGAAAAAAAAAATCTGCCTCCTACTCTCTGCCCACGAGCATTCTAGGATGGCTCCCAGGACTGGTCAGTGGGAGTTACTGAAGAGTGTCTCGTGGCAAAATGGCTGAGTCATTTTCCCCAAACATTTTCTCTGGGCACTGGCTGTGGACAATCAATCTTTAAAAAAAAAAAAAAAAAAAAGGGGGGGATTCTGAGCCTTCCTGTATATTTGCAAATATGAATCTCCAGTACCAGGTATACACCAAAAATGTGTACTTTTCTGATCAAGATCATGATGGAGCCCTAATAAAATATAGAACTGAGCTTAATTTAAGTGCCTCGGGCAACCATCACACCTGGCTAATATGCCATATTATTTCACTTGTACACAGTACATGTTTGGAATTACTAAACATTGATCAAAATTGATCGAAAACTCCAAGTTTTGGTCACCATGTACAGAGAACAATTGCTCAGCATGGCATTTAAATAAAGCATTAATATTTAAAAAATTCACAAATACAATGCCCCATTAATTTAAAAAAATAATAAAATTTTAAAATCTTGAGGATGGATGAGGCTTTGGGTAATTAACCTGAAGGAAAACAACAACAAAAACCTATAAGAACAGTATGTTATCAGACTTAAAGTTCAAAACACTATTAAGATAAAAAAGAAACCTATCAACTCATCTAGAAATATTAGGAAAATTCAACTTTTAAAGCTTTATAATCCTTCGAAGAGCCTCGCTGTCCCTGGTTCCAGTAGCCTTAATGACCACAGGGGAAATTGTGGCTGACTAGGAAACAATATAGGGCCTAATTCCTGTTGGCATTTACTTTAAAAAGTAATTTTTTAAAACACTGTGCAGTTTATATCTTCGCAGGAAGTTGGTATACTGATCCCTTTGCTAAATGCAGTACCTTAAAACCTAACACTGACCTCAAAAGCTAGAAGTAATCTTTGTGGTATCCAGGGGAACTCTCCCCAAAACAACCTCAAAGAGAAAGCACATGTGCAACTCTTGCAGTCCAAGGTTACGAAGTATGTAGGAAGTCTCTGCAGTTCTGCTGAGGATTTCCTATACACTATTTATTCACAATGATTTCCTGCAATGGCTGAGTAGGTCCCCTAAAGAAAGTTTAAAGAGTTCCCTTAAAATAACTCAGAAGTTAAACAACGGCCCTATTCAGGTGGCTACTTCTGTCCTCCAAGTTTTATCTTTAAGAGTCTAAGGGAGCACATGTCTGTTTAAAAAAAAAAAGTCTAACACAGGGACTGGCTGCAGCTTCTATTAGGTGAGTATATGATGGACCATTCTAAAGTGGGAATTGTGGGCTGTTAGAAATTTGGGAGGACAGGAAGGGATTTCATAATGGGCTCCTCCTAGCTGCAAAATACACCCAACCTGGTGATATTTCTGCGCAAAGACAAAAAGAAGCTGCCTGCTGACGAGGTCTGTCTCCCTCCAACCCCACCCATCTCCTCTTGCTCTCCTCTGCTGTATTTCTCCTTGGCTGACTGATCAGGGAGACACTGGTCTTCAAGTCCAGAGCCCAAGATACTGAACTACATGCACATAAATGAAATGCTTTGCAAGACCTGTGCTGAACCAACCACGCCTCCAAATTGCCTCTGGACCACTTAAAGGTAGCTTGGGCAATGGGAGAAAAACTTTTCAACCACTAACCATTACTAAGCATTGAGAGTTCTAACTACATCCTAGGCACTGCAGTGGATATTTCCTCTTCATTATTTCATTAAACTCAGAAAGAAGTCTCATGCAAAGGAATTTGCTTAAAAGCTTTAAAACAAACAAGGTTTCTATCTCCAGCCAGCAGCAAGTCCCAGTGAGACACCTTGACAGGCAAAAACTAAAATACATCTTTCTCGAGACCCAACATGTTTTCCGCCCTCACCACTGTTGTCTTAAATAAATATGCACTTTGATGCTGCTTTGCACTGTGCCTGGCTCCCAGCATGTGCTCCATGAATGGGTGTTGACTGGTACACATTCTGGCATGTGTCTGGAGGGAAGTAAAACAAGCCTGCTTCTCAAGACTACACATTTCTTAATGGTAAATATGGCTGGCCTCCCTTTCAGATGCAACACTTGGCACTGACAATTACCACAAATGATCAAAATAAAGTGCTATTTGCTCTGGAATTTCTCTAACCAACTCTTGACTGCCTCGCAACCTGTGAGACTCACTTCTTCACAGTCCCATCGAACACTGGTGATTGTACCATTTAAAAAACACATTAATATTAATTTGAAGAGCAGAGACAATGTTCCTCAGATCAGGAGCCCCTAGAATAGAATTTCAATTCCAGTTGTAGATACTCATTTTAGAAAAAGATGATCAGGAACCCAGGACCTAGCAAGTAGTTATGCCAAAAAAACATTAACTTCTTTAAATGTAAGGGCCAGAGAGATCTGCAGCTCAAAAACCAGCAGAGGGAACTTTCTCTGCTGCTAGTTGCTTGCTTCCTTAACTAGACTTCCCTGAAATCCACGGATCCTTCTACACTGTCAGTCAGTCATTCCACACAAACCAGCCTTCCGACGACTCTTAGCTGTGCTGTTGGATGTTTCTCCAAAGCTTGCCCAAGGCACCATGGTGGATGTGAAAAGATGCCATAACTATTCGGGACTGTGAACCCAAGGGTGGCATTTATGCCACCAAATGTCATCCTCTGAATTTTCCAACACCTTCTGCAGCTCATCTTCCTGGAGTAGAACTGGCTTCATTGCCATCCCCACCCCTAGCTGGTAGGAGAGGCTTTAGGAGCATTAGGCCTGGTAGGGGCACTGTCAGGGTTTACGGTTCGTCTTTAGGGAATCCCTGGGTGTGCTGAGTCCGGGGTGGGGAGCACCTGGCAAGGTAGCGGGGACCCCCATAGGCCCGGAGAAGCTGGGGCAGCCTTCGCCATGTGGACAGCAACCTTGCGGCTGCGAGTTCCCGGGAGTGATTATCGAAAGCAGCCAGGAGGTCAACTGGAGCAGCTTCACGCAGTACTTTGGGCAGTGGGCCCACTTCGGCGGCCGCCCCACCAGGGCCCAGGACGCAGTGGAAGAGTGTTTGGCGTCGCAGCAGGCAGTCCCTAAGAAACCGCACCAACTGTTCCAAGCGCTTGCCCAGGTGCGCCTCATCCCAGCCTTGCTCCGGAGCCCTCTCACGCAGCAGCACTGCAAGCAGCACCGTCTTGAGCACGTATGAGGACAGGATGCGTCCCCACTGGGTGGCGGCCACCGGGTCCAGCCCGTGGGCGCCCAGGTCTCGCAGAGCTTTAAGCAACTGCAGGCACTTGAGGTAGCAGGCACCTGAAGGGGCCCGTTCCTGCAGCCAACCCAGCAGCTTCTGCTCCTGCCGCGCTGTGTTTACGCCCCACAGTGCATCCGCGCGCAGGCCTCCCGGGAGCTCTGATAAAGTCCCGAAGGGCGAGGACGGCGGTGGCGGAGCCACGAGGAAGACACCGTCGCCCAAATGGACGGCGGGAATGAGACGCACGGCCATGGAAAGGCGGCAGCAGCCATAATCGGTGCGGCAGGGCAGGATGTGCAGGGTGGGAGGCTGCTCCAAGCCGCCCGGGGTTAGGCTGACCCGACAGCGCTCCTCCAGGCTGTAGCGCACGGTGGCCAGGGAGCGCTGCAGATGTGACTGGAACCAACGCAGCACCAGGGTGGACGAGAGGTGGCGCCGCCCGCGCACGTCCACACAGAAGCCGTCGGCGAAGGGTTTGCAGTCCCGGAGCCAGTGGCTCCCGGAGGCCCCCGGCGGCGCCTTGAGTGCGCACACGAAGCAGCCATGAAAGGCTGGGGCCAAAGCAGGCTGGGTGCCCAGGCTCCGAGGCTCCAGCGCCACCAGCGGCGGGAGGCGCAAAGGCACCAACACGTCGAAGGCGTCCGGCCGGCGTATTTTATGCTGCTCATAGGCACTGCCCACCTGGATGAAGTCTCCACGAAAGGCCAAGGCCAATGTGCCCCCGGGAATGGGGCCCGGGGATGCCCGGGCGCGGCCAGCTCGCACCAGTTCGCCCACGATCCGGCTCACGTGTGCCTTACTGTGGCCCAGCACGTGCGGGGACAGGCGCACATCGTGCTCATAGTAACTCTCCAGCAAGATGCCGAGGCTCGGCTCTTGGAAATGTCTTGAAGAGAAGGCGGAGTGGCCCCCCAGGCGGGGAGACGCGGGCAGGAAGCGCTGCCGGACAGCGTGGCGACAGCGTAGGAGGATGTAGCCGAGGAGGAGCAGGACAGACACCTTAAGAAGAGGGAAGCCTCCGTCCGCATCCTCTGCGCCGTCGGGGGCCTCGGCCCGGGCACCCCCACTCCCTCGTAGGACATGGTAGAGGCACACGATGGCAATGAACAGGCCGGTCACCAGGGGCCAGAAGACACGCAGGTTGAGGGTGTAGTGCACCGACATGCCGGGCGCCTGGGCAGCCCAGGGCGCAAGCCCCGGCGGCGCCCCCGGCCCAGCATGCGCGCAGCGCCCCAGCGGCCCCGCTGTCCGGGTCTCCTTTGCCTCCACGGCGGCTCCCCCCTTGCAGGAATGGGGGAAGCCGCCCTCCAGCTCAGCCTCCTCTCCCAGCTCAAGTTCTCTTTCCAGCTACGGCCCGCCCCGGACTCCCAGGCCCCGGGCCGCGCCCTGCGCCGGTTGCGCGATGCGTCCTGCCCGGTGGCCCTCCCCACCCGGCGCTCCGGCGCGGTGTGCACGGCCAGCTTCTGGCCCGGCCCGGCTCACCTCCAACCCTGGGCGGCCCTCCTGACGCCGGGCCCCCAGCCGCTCCCCTTCGCTCTAGTTCCCGTTACTTGGGCTCCGGGAGTTTCCTCTTCCGAGGGGAGGTGAGGCCGAGCCAGCTGGCGGGGAGGAAATGCCTAAGTCTGGAGCGTGCTCCGAGCCGGCGGGCGGGGTCCGCCCTCTCCCAAGGCCTCCTCCTTAAAGCGACGCGGGACGGCGGGAGGGACTTCAGGAAGCGTTAGTAGCTGGTCTCCTGCGGGCCACCCCCATTCTCCCTCCCTTAAGGCATAACTGGAAAGGCCCTGATTCCAGGGCGGTGGCTTATCCAGGGAGCTTCTGGAGTTGTGCTCACAAGAAGTTAGTTACACTGGAAAGTTAAAAGGAGGAGAAAAGAGCTCACGACGAGACTGTCTGTCCCTCCCCCACCCCCAGCAAGTCGTGGTGGTATGGTATTGGTGGTGTGGCAGGCCCCAACGAAAGAGGCGCTGCCAGAATACCACTGTCCTTTATACAAACCAATATTTATTGAACACCTACTATGTGCCAAGTAGGAGGCTAGGTGCTGTGGAAATAGCAGTAGACAAAATAGACAACTTTTCTGACTGTAAAGTTTGCAGCTTTAAAAAAAAAGGGGGGGGTGGGGGCGGGAGGGAATCAAAAGAGAAGGGATCCCATAGCAGAAAATGCTCTGAATGAAACAAATCTGTATGAGGGAGTGAGAAATTGGGGTTGCCGCATGAAAGCTGGGGACTCTGTGAGGCGGCATTTGCTCTGAGATCTGAATGAGGAAGAGCCAGCCTTGAGAAGAACAGCAACAGCCTTTAGTCTGTGTCAGTACTGGGCTAATCAACATTGCACATGTACACTCTTCATGTTAATCCTATGACGTGCGTGGGCACTACCTCATTTTTCAGATGAGGATCCAGGGCACAGGCAGGTTCAGCTGCTTGCCCAAGGTCACCACCCAGTTTAGCAGAGCTGTGCCTTAAACACAGGCACAGCTCCGAGGCTCCGGAGAAAACAAGAGTCAGGACTCAGGGAGGGGACCAGAAATTCCCCTTCCTCAACTCCTGGGAATTTGTGTCCTTTTTCAGGACCTACATTGGGACCTCAGTCCAGGGAAGCTTTGTCTTGTTGCATAACTAGGGAGTACTCCTTGAAACAATCAGGATTTAAATAATTATCTTTATGTATTTACACTCATTGCACACTTTGCTCCCACCATCAATTAGAAAGCAAGGGTGAAAGCCAAAAAAAAAAGTTCAGAACCCAGCTGCCACCTGGAAACCAGGGCTGAGGATGATTTCTGGGTTAAGCACTGAGATTACTCCCAGGAAGTCCTTGGCTGAGCCTCTTAGAGCTAAGTAAACCTTTCAGATCGCATCTCCACTGCTATTAACTATGAGACAGTAGTCTCTATCAGTCAGGAGTCTGGGTTCTAGGTGACGGAAGGACAGCTCAAAAAGAATTGACTGTATTGTGTTAACAGACATCTAGGGGATCCTACTTCAGTAACGCTTCATCTAGTTACTCTTCGTAGGCTTCCTAGCTCTGCTTTCTTCTAAGTTGGCTGTGCCCTCTGCCAAGTCCTCTCCATATGCCCCTGGCTGCTTTAGCCTCATGTTATCCTGCGTGCGGAGGAAAAGAAAGCCTGGCTTGCCTGAATGTCACAGCAGATGCCATCCCTAGAGACAACCTTGGGTCATGAGCTAAAAGTGATCAAGTTGGAGGATGCACTGTTAGCCTGGCCTATGGCAATGCAATAGACTGAACTGTGTCCCCTCAAAATTCAGAGGCTGACGTCCTAACCCCCAGTGTAGCCATATTTGGAAGTAGGAGTTAGTTAAGGTAAATTGAGATAATAAAAATGAGCCTAATCCAACAGGACTGGTATCCTTCTAAGAGTTAGAGAGAGAGAGAGAGATCGCTCCTTGTGCACACTCCTAAGGAAAGGCCGTGTGAGGACATGCGGAGAAGGTGACAGCCAGGAGGAGAGCCTTCACCAGAACCCTGACTTTGCTGGGACTGGATTTTGGACTTCCAGCCTCCAGAACTGTGAGAAAATAAATTTCTATTTTTCACACCACCCAGTCTGTGGTATTTGTTGTATATGCAGCCCCAGCTGACTAAGACAGTTGGATACCCAACCCTGGAACCAGGAGGTGAGGTGAGCCTGGTCCAGACCACGGGGACTGAGGGTGGGGTGTCCCCCAAGGGAAGGGCGTTGTGCTGGAGAAGGCGCAGCAGATGTTTCAACCTGGGAAAGCCACAGGTGGCCGCCATGTTTGGACTAATCCCTTAATATCACTTTGCTTTAATTTTCCCATCTATCAAATGGGGGTGATACTAACAGAGTGACTTATTTTTTCCCTAGTAGATATGGTGGCATGCTATCATCAACCGTACAAAAAGGGCAATGCTCGATCAGAGGTCGGCAAACATGTTGTGTAAATATTTTAGGCTTGTGGGCCATACGGTCTCCGCTGCAGCTGCTGGGGTTGTGGCTCTGAAGCAGCCATATTCATTTTCTGGGGCTGCTGTAACAAGGCACCACAAACCGGGTGGCTTAGACCAGGAATTTATTCTCTCACAGTTCTTGATGGCAAGACGGCTGTACTTCCTCTGAAGCCTTTAGGGGAGAATCCTACCTTGCCTTGTCCAGCTTCTGGTGACTCCAGGTGTCCCTTGGCTTGTGGCTGCATCAGATTAACCTCTGCCTCCAGCTTCACATGGCCTTCTTCTCTGTGTCTCTCTCCTTCTCTTTTTCTTAGAAGGACACCTGCCATTGGATTTGGGGCCCATCAGGGTAATACCAAGGATCTCAGCTAGAGACCCTTAAGTTAATCAAGTCTGTAAAGACCCCTTTTCCAACTAAGATCACCTTAACAGGTTCCAAGGGTTAGGGTGTGAACATATCTTTTGGAGGGTATATTGGAAAAAGCTCAGTTGTCCTTCCTGTGTCTCCTTTACGACTCACACAGAACACTTCACATCTGACCCTTTGGTCACCAAATGTGTTTCCATACCCCACAACAAGCAATTCTCTGTGACACCAGCTCGGTGTCCTATAATTTAATTCTATTTTGACATTATCCACAAGACAGCTCCCACCCCACTGGATGCCAGTCTCCAAGTTGTAGACCCCCAGGCGACCCACAACTTCTGTCTGACTTGGCTACGAATCAGAGGCTCCCACATCCCTCTTCTCACGTTCGATTAATTTTCTAGAGCGGCTCACAGGACTCAGGAAAACACTGAACAATTACCAGTGTGGTAGAGGACATGAGAAAGGACACAGATCAACAGGCAGTTGAAGAGACACAGAGGGCGAGGTCTGGGAAGGTCCTGAGCACAGGAGCTTCTATCTCCATGGAGTTGGGGTGCGTCACCCTTTCAGTGTATGGTTGTGTTCACCAACCTCGAAGCTCCCTGAACCCCCTACTACCAGGACTTTGTGCAGGCTTGCTCACACAGGCACGATCACTTACTATTCCGTTCTTCTCTGGAGAAGGGTGGGGAGGTGGAGCTGGAAATCCCAAGCTTCTAACCATTGCTTGGTCTTTCTGGTGACCAGCTGCCACCCAGGAGCCCACCCAGACCTACCTCCTTGAAACAAGAGATGCTCCTAGTTCTCTTATCATTTAGGAAATTACAAAGGTGTTAGGAGCTTTGGGACAGGAGCTGGGAGTAGACACCGATCTGTAGTTTTTATTATCTCACACAGACCACTGTTCACCCTGCTGCACTGCGTAAACAATGTGTCACCATTACTGTTTTTCCTGCTTGTGATTCGTTTCCTTAGCTCACTTCCTCCGAAGAGTTCAAGGTACAGGCCTCATAACTTTGCACTGGGAAAACCTGTATGTGTCAGAGCAAATACAAATGCACTTATTCATTAGTTTACTACGCCCTTCTGTGGGTGCTTACTGTGTGCAGAGGGGAACCTAAAGGAAAACAGTGTGCTCCAAGCTGACAGATTAGATCGTTGCACAATGTGGTGCGTTCAGAAAACTGCCACTGGTTTGTAGACTTAAAAAAAATCCTCACCTGAGGATTTTTTTATAGATTTTAGAGACGGGGGAGAGAGAAAGGGAGGGAGAAAAGGGGGAAACATCGATGTGAGAGAGAACCTACCTGGGATCGAACCTGCAACCCAGGTATGTACCCTGACCAGAAATTGAACCCACAACATTTTTGGTGTACGGAATAATGTTCTAACCAACTGAGCCACCCAGCCAGGGTGTTTTGTAGACTTTTGATAATTATTTCATTAAAAACTTCCTTTAATGTTTAATACCTGACAAAGGCCACTCCTGTTTTTAACAGCTTAGCAAATATATACACCCAGCCCTCCCAACATTTCTGATATCCCAGAGGCGTGTCCCTCGGAGGAAGAATGGCAGCACAACGCTGATGAGAGGAGAAGAGAAAGAGGTGGTGCCTCATTTCCCGTGGAGAAATTTCCTGGGGAAAGCTCACGGGAGGAGACATATGCCCAGGCTTTGAAGAACAGGAAAAGACAGTGGTACATCATACATAACATGTGCTTTCTGGACTCGGCCCTTCCCAGGCAGCATCACCTGAAATGCTCAGAGCAAGCCCAGTGAGGTAGGTGCTGTTATCAATGCCGTCTCAAATGGGGGAAAGGTGAGGCTGAGAGAGGGTGGGTAACTTACTCAAAGTCACTTAGCTGGCAAGGCTACTTGAGAGCTGGGCCCTTATTCCTGGTACTTCTCTCCCTTTCACACTGTAAAGGGTTTTATTGCACAGAAAAGAGAGCATTCTGGGAAAGCAGGTTAGCTTATGTTTGTGTGTGTCTCCCTAACCAGCTGATGAAGTTCTTGGAAGCAGTGACTTTACCATAGTCATCTTGGTATCAGAAACATCGAATACCTTGCCTGGAACTTTCTAGGGGCTTGTTGAATGAATACTATTTTTACCAGCAGAAATTCAGGGAGGCCATTCCAGGTAATGGCAACAAAATACACAAGGGCACAGGGGTCCAGGAACATGTGACAGTTCAGGGGAAAGGTCCAATTATTGTGGAAGTCTGGAGCTTGTGAGTGGATGCTGTGGCATTCCCTGGCCATCCATTCCAGCCTTCTTCCAGCAAGCCTTTTTCTGCAGCTGGCGCTAGAAAACAAAACACATTCCCACATTCCCTAGCACAGGGACAGGAGCTGCCCAAGACACCTGCTTTGCTGGTGCAGCTGGCAGCAGAGGTGGGTGGTTTTGAGACCCACAGCTGGGCCCTGATTCCACAGGCAGTTCCCTGGTGAGGCAAAGGCAGCAGCTACCTTGGTGGCCCAGTCTGCTGTGTTACTATGGAATCCTCTCTGGAAGTTCCAGAGTCCTTTCCCACAGCTTTTCAAACTGTCTGTAATAAATGATCTGCTGCTGTTTCTCAAAAATTTCCGGTTGGTTCCGCTATGCATGACATCACACAGCACATGTCTCATACTACTCAGAACACCCACATGGGTGTATCCTCAATTCAGACAGACGAGCCCATCAATCACGCTTTTGTGGATGTCCCAAAAATGTTGAGTTGATGTAGACATCTCTAAGCACTTACTCGAAAGTGACTGGAGCAGGGCAGCCAGTAACCAGGGGGCCTGACACATGACTTTGCTGACAATGCCACCCAATACTGGATGGTGACCAAGTGACCCAAACCCATCTAAGCAAGAGTGAGGGCAGAGGGGAAGTGAAGCAGGAAGGAGGGAGGGTGCGCACACTGCGGTGCGTGCTGTATGAGGCCAGCCACAGCTGTGCGGCAGGCAGAGCTGGCTCCCCAGTCTGAATGGGACACAGAAACCACAAGGAAGCAGAAGTCAGAATTCAGCCAAAGGCACAGAATAGACAAAGGCTTTGAGAAAAAAAAACATAGCAGGTCAGGGGAGGGTAGGAAGAAGCAAGAACAAGCCGCTAGTCCAAGAACGGTGGGTAACAGAGTTGATGTTGGGGCATCAGGGCTGCCGTGTGCCTGGATGACAGCTCAGATCTCCTTCCCTCTTGAGTGAGCAGCAGCTGCCTCAGTTCCCGGTGGACCCTTATCACAATCCCTGTGAAACTCGGGGCTGGCTGTGGCATGAGATGGGGGCATTTTAGCCTGGTCCCCTAGAAAACTGAACCTAAGGGATGTGCATATGGATGTGTTCTGGAGGATGCAGAGCCAGTACAGCCAGAGTGGGGACAGAGGGGAAGTGAAGCAGGGGAGGAAGGAGGATGCACTCACTGTGGTGCGTTCCTGAGCTGGCTGCAGCCCTGCGGCAAACACGACTGGCCCCCCAGTCACCAACGTCTCCAAAGATGCTGAATGGAGCCTCTCTATCAGCCATGGAGAAAAAGGGCAGCCAGTGCAATGGGTGATTCCTTTCCATCTCCTGTCCCTCATCTGTCAAGGTATGCGCACTGAATATCAAATGTCTATACTTCCTGGCTGGGTCTCCAGGACGATGGAAAAGCCAGTCTCTGCAGGCCTAATATGTGCTCATGCAGGCAGTCTCCATGGGTGGAGACCCATGTAAAGAAAGTCCTTGGTCGGTGGCAGTGATGGCAGCTGTCTCTTTCCTGTTGTGAAAATGGAGTGAGCTGTCCCTAAGTCTGCTCTGGGCAAGAAGCAAGGCAAGTAGGAAAGGCCAAATGGTTTGGGGTGGCCCATACATTGGGTCTGTACAGAATGCTCCTTTGAGGGGTGAGGGCGTCTGCTAAATTGATTCTGTAAGATGAATGGATCATTGCCAGACAAAGGGGATAGAGAAGGGCAAACATGTAGAAGTCCCTTCATGTATGGAATCCTGGACAAATAAAAGAGCATGGTTTATATTTCAGTAGGTCTTAAGTTTGAGTCTGAAGGGAGATATGTTGAGAGGTGAGACTGGAAATCGGGTCACAACTTGTATACCATGCTGTTTGGTTGGAAGGCTCTTTGTCACTAGTAACACAAGATCCCGCAAAATGGAATTCTGGAGGTAAAGTGGCTCCAGGCCTGCTTAATGCAATGGCTCACCACATCATAGGGTTCCTTCCGTCTTTCTGCTCTACCATCTATAGACTAGCTCTCCTCCTGGTTACAGAGTGGTTGCCATGGTTCCAAGCATCACATCCAAACACACAAACATCCAACAGAAGATGAACCCAGCACCATGCTGGTACTTATAGAGGTGGCTCTCCCCTATGGATCTCTATTTTAGAGCAAGGAAATGTTTCACAGAGATTCCCCAGCAAAACTTTCTGCATGGTTCATAGCCAACTGGTAATTTAGTAAGTAAAGTGGTTCTGAGTTCTGTGAGCTGCTCTAGTAAATTAGTTGAATCCAAGGGGAAGGTAAAGGGGGTGGTCATTGCCTGTCAGAAGCATGGACTTGTAATTGGCATCTGAAGTGGTATCAGGGTACAGCCTTGGGGGATTGAGCCCTTAGTCTGTGGGATCTGACACTATCTCTGGATACATAGTGTCAAAATTGAGTTGAAATGTAGGGCACCCAGCTGGTGTCTAAGAATTGCTTGGTGGCATGGGAAATTGCCCTTCCATACATTGGAACTTGTCCCAGAAATGTACATGGCCACATGTAGTGCAAAGGAGGCTAAGGAATGTAGTTATTTTCCTACAGCATGTATCCTCCTAATAATGTGTTTCATTACTATGGAAAAAAAAGAGAATAAATACCAGGGGACAATCGTCAGCCTTTGCCATAGTAGGCAACCAACAGTATCTACTCCATGGGCTGCACTGGATCAGTTCTATCCTAATTGTGATTCATTATTTGTATGATTACTAATTAAATGTTTATATTTTTAAAGATACTGTAAGCTTTTCTTATGAACAGAAAGCATATCTGTCCTGTACACTTAATTGCTAATTGCTGAGTGATGAATTGAATGAATGAAAGAATGAATAAATGATTCTTATTTCAGAAGTCCAGCAAAGTAGCCCTCTGTTGATAAAGCACTTTTCACTGGAGAATGTTCTTCCCTGGTCTGCATTTCCAAAGCCACCGTTTATTTGAGAGTCATGAATAATGAAACCAACATCTGTCAAAGGGAAGCTTTGGTCTGGCAGAGATGAAGAGCCAAGAGAGAGCTAATGAGTCTGTAATGCAGTTTCTGTGCAATAAGATGGCACAACATCAAATTCAAGGCCATGGGATTTACACTATAAATCCAAGACAATTACAGAGTGGGACTCCCACTCCCCATCTGCTCCAGTCCTTCTAGTTTGAGTCATTTTATGGACATAGACTTCCCACTGGCATTGTCTGGTGATGTCATGATGAGAATTTTGACAGTCATTTGATTTCTGGTTAGAGGGCCAATGAGGCCAAAAGAGACTCGGCACTGAGTGGAACATAAAATCACTGAGCTCAGAAAGCCACTGTCGGCAAAGGTAATGAGTCAGATATGAGGTCCCTTCTTCCCTGCCTCCTCCTATGAGCGTGGAGAGAAGAGTCGGCATGTCCTGAGTGTTTATTGTTCTACAGGCAGTGTCCTAATTAAATACTTCACATGGTTTTCACACATTCAGCCTCACCACACAGAACAACTTTGTGAGGTGGGTCCTATTTTTATCTGTATTTTGTAGATGGGGAAACTGAGGCATAGGCAGGCTACATACTTTGCACCAGGTCAAACAGCCAGTAAGTTGCAGAGCTGAGATTCGAACCCATGCCTCCCATTCTGATACCTTTAACAACCCCACACGATGCCTTGAGTCAGTTGTTTCCAACTAGGATCAGATAATGTTTTCCAGGGTCTGGGGGAAAAGATCAAAGTAAGACATGTGAAGGGAATTTTTCATAAAGCCCAGTTTACAGTGGAGTTGCCTTTTACAGGGTAGGGACATTTCAAAGTCAGTATGTAGCAAAATAAAATTGTATTTAGTTCAAATTGCCCATGACAGATTGGCATAGGAGTGTAGATTACACATCTGTCAAAACATTGAATGGTCCACTTCTTACATATTTCACTGTATCTAAATTTTATCTAAAAAAAGTCATAAACACATATTGGATTCTAGTGAGTAGAATGCAAGTTGAAGTGTTTAGGGGTGAAGTGAACTGGCCTCAGCAACTGCCTTTGAAACATATCAGAAAATCAGAGGGATTGATGGGTGGAGAGAGGGATGGATAAGTGGATAGACATATTATACATCCAGTGAAGTTTAATGTTAATGGTAGAACCTCAGTGGTTGATATATGGGTGTTTTCTATACAACTCTTTCGATTTCTGTTTGCTTGAAAAAATTTTAATATAATGTTGAGAGAAAAAAATACATTTGAGAATCTGTTAAGAAGATACTAGTTTGGAAACTGGTATTTTGTCTGTCATTGGCCATCAGTCAGATTTTTCTTCAGCACTAAAATCAAAGTTTCATCAGTTGAGCACTCGATGAAGGAACTCGTTTGAGCTTATGGGCCAAGTTATATGAAGAATACACGTCTTTAAGCACTCAGCATGGTGAGTGAGCCTTTGAAAGACAGGGACAATGGGAGACGAAATCAGCTCTTTAAGAACAGTCCTTTAAGTAAAGCAGTATTGTCCACATGATTTAAAGTGCTCTCTCCCACACCCCAAAGTATTTTTGTGTATGTAGCCAGATTCCAACAA